GCCATGAACATTCTGCTAAATAACGTTTTAAAGCATTTTCATTTATGGATGAAATACTCTCATAATACCAAGGCAGCTCAAGCTGATTCATTATTATATGGTCATGAGGGAAATCTCTCTCTTTTCCACAACAGAGTGTCTAGTGGATTTGAATAAAGCAGAGTGATTCTCTACTGTACGGCTCCGTTCACCTGCTCATACGGTCACATGACAACAAACCAGAACCATCCAGACATTCAACTTTTCCTCCGGCTGCTGTATAGATCTATTTAAGGCACCAAATCAATGTCATTTTTTACATCTGTAAGTGTTAGGATACTTTTATTTAAAGTCATCATTTAGTTTTACACTTCAAAAGATCAAGGAAAGTGTGATTCCTGATGAAATGACTGCTTTAAAGTGTCTACCACTGGTAGTTAACACTGCATGTACAATCATAAGGCAGACGGCCTTAAATAGATGTAGAAAAGTCTAAGGTCTGGAGGGTGTGTTTGTCGTGTCGGAGGTCTGACGGAGCACAAGTGCAGTATGGGAATCCTCTGACTTCTGGTCAAGGACACAAGGATCAGTGAGATCAGAGGAAGGTATGAGGAACCTACTGGACGCATGGTCAACCCAAGGCCTCCACCACTGCTTTTTGTGCACCTTGTTTTTCTTTTTCTCTGCAAATGAAATGTTAGAACGTTAATGAAAGCATGTCAGAAGTGACACTGGCGAAATTGGAAACCTCCTGGTTGCTTTACAGAGAATGTGAAGAATATGCAGCTAAATACACACATGAGAGTGCTAAACTTGGCTTTTTACAGTTCTGTTTGTGATGCTTCACAATGTTTGTGATGAAAGCACACTATTTTATCATACTGTCGTGATCTACATCGTACCATCATCATCACCGTCGTCGTTGTTGTCAGGCTGGATGGGTTTCTGCTCGTCTCCAGACTCCTGAGCCATGCTGAGCATCTTCTCCTTTCCTCTCTTGAACTTCTGCTGCCGCGTCTTAATATGATCCATCCTAAATGAATGCATTCATAGTAATGAGAGAAATCATTCACAGCACATTTCATAATAATAATAAACTCTAATAACATGTACATTGTAGTAATATATGCTTTTTAAAAGTTTGGGGTCGTTAACATTTTTTTATGTAAAAAGTCTCTTCTGCTCACCAAGGCTTCATTTACTTAATCATACATACAGTAAAAACAGTAATATTATGAAATACTATTGCAATTGAAAATAAATATTAACATATGTGACCCTGGAGCACAAAACCAGTCATAAGGGTACATTTTTCAAAATTGAGATTTATACATCATCTGAAAGCTGAATAAATAAGATTTTGATTGATGTATGGTTTGTTAGGATAGGACAATATTTGGCTGAGATACAACTATTTGAAAATCTGGAATCTGAGGGTGCAAAAAAATCTAAATATGGAGAAAATCGCCTTTAGAGTTGTCCAAATGAAGTTCTTAGCAATGCATAGTCCTTATCAAAAATTAAGTTTTGATATATTTACAGTAGGAATTTACAAAATATCTTCATGGAACATGATCTTTACTGTACTAAAGATTTTTGGCATAAAAGAAAAATCAATAATTTTGACCCATACAATGTATTTTTGGCTATTGCTACAAATATACCCCAGCGACTTAAGATTGGTTTTGTGGTCCAGGGTCACATATTGTAAAATGCATTGAATTTTCAGCATCATTACATAAAAAAAAAAGAAAATCTTACTGACCCCAAGCTTTTTAATGCTAGCAGGCTAGTGAAAGCGAAGTTTCTACATAACTACATAACATGAGCTAAGGTTGCTTGAGTGGTGGTTTTCGATTAGAAATTATGACTTGGGTAACTGTTGAGCTCTACTATGGACTATTACATGCAACTCATGAAGTCAAACACAAATGAAAGGATGTTTCTCACTGTCTCTTCAGTTGCTCCATGGATCTCTTCTCCTCCTCCAGACGAGCTCTCACGGCCTTCACAATGCTGGCCTGAAACAACTCTGCTCCTCTGACAGACAGACAGACAGACAGACAGACGGACAATACTTAACTAAACTGTACTGACATTTACACATACTCCACTACATACTATAAATGACACATTTATGTTCTTAGTCCATACTTAAAAATGTATGGAAGTCTGTATTTTTTATTTTTTATTTTTTTATTTTTTGCAAGTTGCATTTTTTTAACCACCAAATTCTGAACTTTTACTTCAGAATTCTGAGTTTACATCTCACAATTCTTATTTTTTCCCCTCAGAATTCAGACTTTACATCTCACATTTCTTACGTTTTCAGAGAATTCTTTTTATACATCACAATTCAGACTTCTCTTCTCAGAACTTTGAGTTTATATCTCAGAATGCTGATATGTTTTCTGACAATTGCGAGTTTATATCTTGTAATTCTGTATTTACGTTGCACAATTATGACTTTTTTCTCACAATTCTGGGAGAACATTTCACAACTCTGACCTTTTTCCTCACAATTGCAATTCATCTCCCAATTCTGATGTGTGACCCTGAAAAAGCAGTCTTAAGTCGCTGGGGTATATTTGTAGCAATAGCCAAAAATACATTGTATGGGTCAAAATTATCGATTTTTCTTTTATGCTAAAAATCATTAGGATATTAAGTAAAGATCATGTTCCATGAAGATATTTTGTAAATTTCCTACTGTAAATATATCAAAACTTAATTTTTGATTAGTAATATGCATTGTTAAGAACTTCATTTGGACAACTTTAAAGGCGATTTTCTCAATATTTAGATTTTTTTGCACCCTCAGATTCCAGATCGTCAAATAGTTGTATCTCGACCAAATATCGTCCTATATTTCAATGGAAAGCTTATTTATTCCGCTTTCAGATGATTTATAAATCTCAATTTCGAAAAATTGACACTTAAGACTGTTTTGTGGTCCAGGGTCACATATTTTTTCTTCTTCTCAGAATTATGAGGAAAAGTCTGAATTGTGAGATATAAACTGAGAACTGAGAGAAAAAAAAAGTCGTAATTGCAAGATAAAAAGTTGTGGGCAGAAATATGTTTCCATAGAAATGTTCTCCAAACTGCAAATATGAAATTATCCCTCAAACAAAAACGTACATTCAAAACAAATCTAACACACTTGTGTGTAAACGTATGTAAACACGTTGTACCGAGATGCGAGAATCTGTCCGGCGCGGATGTCTGCGACCACATGCAGGAAGTAGTAGCTCATGAAGACACGTCTCTGCAGCAGGAGGAACGTAAAGCAGATACTGTCCCAGATAATCCCAGCCTCGTCCCTTGGCACCTCACAATTCCCTAAAGACACGCCTGAAGACACACGGAACACATATAAAGCCATTAGAGATCATTTGAATAATGCAATGTTGCTTCTCAACCAAAAGTTATAAGTTAACGTTGCATGTTGCTAAGCAAACAAGCATAAAAATATACTGTGCACACAAATATTGGCTAAAATAATACATATGCAATTAAGTTAACATTTTATAATTATTTTACTTATATTGAAATATATTTGTAATGAACAGTTTGTTGACACCACCTTGGTTCATCACAATGCATTGCCTTTTTTGTGAACGACAGATGCTATGGCGTCTTTGAAAGCACACAAATAGGCTGCCTTCTGAAACTATGATGCTTTTGTAGACAGCTCACAATATGTTTAATTTATATAACAACAAAGATTAGAAACCAGAATGTTGGCCAAAAGCAACCTTTCTTTACCTTCTAGAGCTTTGTATTCTTTTATGGTGCAGGCAAGACTGAGCAGCTGAACCAACCAGCAGCTATTCTTCACCAAATGCTTGATATAACCACATGCCAAAATCTGTGGAAAAAAAAGAAAAGAATAATATAGGGAAAAAAATACAATTCTTAATGCATGTTACTCATCTTTTAATTTATTGCTTTATTCATTTTTTTCTGTTTATGCATTTACTAGCCTCCTCAACAGACTAAAATAATGAATCATAATTAATCTTAATAGTTTTAATAGTTTCACAATAAATCCTATAATATAATTAAAATTAAAATTAATATTATAATTTAAAAATTAATAAAAAAAATAATAAAATATGTTGAGATGTTTTTTTTTATTTCTCTGCAAATAAATAAATAAATAAATTTCATACATTAATGTAATGATTTTGGCAGAACTGGCTGAAAACTGTAAATGCATTTCTTTAAGGGATAAGACACTCACAGCAAACACGTTCTTCATTGTGATGACGAAGACATTGTAAGCTATGAGGACATCCCAGTAACGGAGGATCTTCTTGATTGGCTTGAGCAAGAGATCGCCACCGAAGAGCAGGAAGTAAAAACACGCCACCAGGTAACCCATGCAGAAGACACTGATCCGAGTCGTGCCCGTGATGAAGATAATGGTCAGCACGAACCAGAACAGGTAGCTAAACATGATCACCTTCAGCATGTCCAGGTACGACCTGAGAGAAGGAAATAACATTAACATGAGAGCAACGTTTAACTGACGTTTGTTTAAATGATCCATCCAAACTAGCGATGCGCCAATAATAAACTTCTCAGCCGATACCGATAGCCGATTATTCCGAATGATATCTGCCGATACCGATAGTTTAGTTTTCTTAAGAAAAAAATCTCACCCTGTTAACTATAGGGAGCCCTCTCATTTTGTACATAATATTAGAGGTTAAAATTAACAACAAAGCTATTATATTAAATGCTGTTTATTTTAAGATAATAATCACACTCAAATAAAAACTCTTGTATACAACTCAATTGCACAATGTAGTTTTCATAAAAATGGGTCATCATGACAGATTTATTCAAACGTACATATATAATTAACAGTGTTTTTTTTATAGTTAAAGGGGCCATGTCATGAAGATGCTGTGTGTTTCGTTGCGAAAGCGAAAATACTTCGTCATGCCTAGAGCTGATCCGTGCTGGTCGCTGAGTGTTCCTCACTCTAGCCCGCCGTGTGTGACGCTGTTTCGTTGTGAAAGCGAAACTACTTTGTTTGGCCTTCCAAAAGAAGACACGACTAGAAATCAGTGGTTAAGTTGTATTTACAACACTGTTCCAGAACAGTTCAACCCAAATATTCAGATGTGTGCAGCACATTTTATGGAGGACTGTTTCCTGATCCTGGTAGAGTAACTGTGAACACTGGATAACTTTTCTGAGGTAAAACAAAGTCTTTAGGTAAAAGCAACTTTAAGTAACATGCTGTTCCCAAGCTGTTTTATTGACGTCTTTCTTTGGGTTGAAACGCTGATTGATCGATTACATGAGATGTGATACATTTCAGTAAGTTGTACTTTATCTTTCAACACACCTTCTGATGTTCATTCATGTTTATTTTGCAGTGTTACTTGGATCTCGTGTGCCGTGCTGCCGCTTGAACTGAAGCGCAACAGCGATCGGTCACATCACTGTAAAGAGTGCCAAAATGGCATTTATTGTTTGAATTTTGTAATAAAATGTACAGGATTTGAAAGCGGAGACTTTGTTTCTTATTAGAAGTAACAACGCACACAGCTCTTTGCTATTATTGGATGGGAGGCGCATTAGAAATAATATTTAGTGAAGGAAAACCGCAGGTCTGGCAACCCTGGCTTGAACTATGGGTGATTTATAGGGTCAAACAGAACGTCTCGGTTACGTATGGTAACCCTCGTTCCCTGAAGGAGGGAACGGAGACGTCACATTTAAAAAGACGCACCCGAAATTGCTCTTTAAGGGGAAAAAGCTCTTTTAGCGTGCTGAGGCGCACAGGGGAGATGATCATCTGCAACACAAACAGGGTGTAGTGCAGCCTGATGTGTGCAACCCACTCGACACGGGAAACCACCACCGCTGAAGCGCCGTACCGCCAACACGAAGAGCTCTCCAAGAGCGCGCTGAACTCGTTCAGTCTTCTTCTCTCAGTAGAGTAGTCAGGAGCAGAACGATGTGATCGCTCGGCTCCGAAGCGAAAAGCTGAATATGCGCTGCATCTGCTGCCTACTTATACTCACGCTGTGATCAGCGGCAGCTGGATGCAATAATTGCATGCCAATGTGCATTGGCTCGTTTAGTTTACACTCGAAGTAGATTGGTCTCTCTAAGCGAGATCCCAATTTCGTCGGTCATCCGACGTGACGTCGAGAGTGACCGACTGAAAGGGAACCCGCGTTAACAGCGCTGCATTAATCTGTTACTATTTAACTGGGACAGCCAAAATATAAAAATAAAAATAATGTAAAACATAATAAAATGTTATGGTGCATTATTAAACTAGCAGAGAAAAAACTATTTTAACAGTAAAAAATGTACTTCCTTCATTTACTGGTACTAAAACATTATTTCATAGCATAATTACATGACAAATGTAGAGCAAATAAAATAAAATGAAATTTAAATGTAATGAATAATTCTAAGATGATGTGCTGACTGTAGCAGCCCAAGTAATTCTCTGCATTATGGTTGAAAATAAAATAGAACAAAAAAAAAAGTAAAACATAATAAACAATTTGGATTAATTAAAAAGTATTTTAACAGTAAAAAATTACACTGTTCATTCACTGTTATTAAAACATTATTTTATATGATGATTATATGACAAATGTAGAGCATATAAAATAAAATAAAATGAAACACAATAAAATAAAGGCTTATATAATTTTTTTTTATATTAATAATTTTATATAAATATAAATATAAATGGGTCAAAGACGTTAAGATGTCCGCATCAAAAGAAATTTACAAAAGTGATTATATGTCCATAGAAAGCACATTAAATGTAAGTAAAGTGTCTACTTTTTTTCAAATAAGTTTTTGGAGAATAAAATGTTAAGATTTGGTTGAAATAATGTTACATTGTCATTCAGTGTAACACAATATTTATGAAAAAATTCAAACAACATGCTTATTCTGTCTTGTACATATTAAAATATATAAAAAGAATAAGGGAGCATATTAAATTGTATTGTGTTTTAAATTAGTAAAAATTCTTACTGACAAATGGGCAAAACCTAGGATAGTGGTAAATTTAAAAAATTTAAAATGCCAACTAATTAGTATTTGGGGTGAAAGTAATTAGTCTTTTAATATGTCATAAATTTATTTTTGTTGTAAATATGCCTGACAAAAGAATGTTACACTGAATGACATTTTAGTGGGTCTCTTCTGTAAATCAGGGAAAAATGTATGATATTTATTTTTTGCTCAGAAAAACAAAAACAAAACTGCAATTAAATTAAAAACTTTGTAATTTTTTGGGGGGAAAAACAACTACAATTTAAAGCAGTATTACACTTATTGTTTTTATGCTTAAACCCTTTTTCGTCTTTGACTCAAATATAAATATAAATAGACTCATAAGTTAAGGTGTTACAGTGGCTGTCCAACTATTTATCTACATTACGGTTGAAAATGAAACAGAAATAAAATAATTTAAAACATAATGAATAAAACAATGTGATAAGTTAACTTGACACACTTGATGTTAAGTGCACAGTGGAAGTATGCAAACGGGGAGGCAGCCATAATTTATTTAAATGTTATGCTTAATTTCCTATATAGTATCAGACATCCTGACAGGCATAATTATGAGCGGATCGATACCCGGTGCGTTTCCTTCACATGCATATGGACGCGCTGCTCATTTTCTTGCACGCTAAAAGCTCACACATGCTTTGAAATGCACTTTAGACCCGCCGCTCCAAAGGTTAAAGTACATCCTCCTGGCTTCACGGCCTGTTTGCAGACGCTGGACGCTGTGTTTAGCCACAGGCCTGTGCTAAGAGCTCTGATGAAAAGCTGAGATGTATTGCATTGATGGACCACAACAAGCAGCAGCTTCCTCCCCTAAAATCAATCACCTTGTAGAAAAAAGATCAGTCCATACTTAAAAGCTACTTATTGGGTTAGAGCTCAGACAGAGAGAGAAAGAGAGCATGTGATGGTGCCTTATGGATTTTTCCGTTCTTTCTGCAATATGATCCATGGAAATTCTTGGAAAGTGAGGGTGAAAGAGGATCACGTACAGTAGAGTGACTGACATGCAAAGACCTGAATAAACTGCTCCTCAACCTCAGTCAGTCAGAAAATACAGACATTCAGACTGACAGCAACATGCAGGGACAATATTTCATAACAAATGTCTGAAAAAATATCTGGGGAAAAAAAATCAAAGTCTAATAAATAAATATTAATAAATGTTAAAATTGATAGCTCTCATTTTTTATAGAGACATCAGTAGTATTGGTATCAGTGATACTGGCCTTCAGTCATGAAAAAAGATGCCATTAAACAAACATTAAAAATATACCGTCTTTTTGTTGTTTGTACATTAATTTGAAGATTGCATGTGAAATTATTGCAATATAAAAGTATATTTAAAAACTTTAATGTTAGGTGGGATTATTAATTAAAAAATGTGTGATTAATTAGTTATTTTTTTATTGATTGACAGCACTAATATATATATATATATACACACACACACACATACTTGTTTATTTGATTTATTTAGACTTTATTTCTTTTTCTTTCTGTCTGAAAGAGAAAATTGTAATTTTCCATGTTCCAATTGATTATTTAAAATAAAACAGTATCAGAAGTATTTACAAACTTTATTTATTTATTTATTTATCCTTGTTAAATTGATCATTATTTGAATATTAATCTGAAAGAGAAAATTTTAATTTGCCAAGATGCATTTGATCAATCTATTTAAATGATCTGAAATTTATTTATTTATTGATTTAATTATTTACTTGATTTATTTATCCTTTTATTTTCATTCTGTCTAAAGGAGAACATTTGATTATTTCACTAAAATAACATCTGAAAAAAATAGTAATTTACTCATTTACATACTGTACTTACTGTACATATGTACTTTTTTATTTATTTATCCTTTCTTATTCTTTTTTCTGTCTGAAAGAGAAATTATGCGTTGTCAAGTTGCATTTGATTATTTGGTAAAAAAGAAACACCTGGCCTACCTAAACTAAAATAAAGCAATAAGCCCCGTGAAGCCGTGGTTTACAGTGAATTTATAACAGCTAAGGGGCGTTGTTAGGCACGACACGAAGCAAAGTTTTTTATTATTAATTTCTTTATTATTAATCCAATTTTTATTATAAAATTTTATACTTTTAAAATAATTGCTTTTATAAAACGGTTATTCCTTATAAGTAGTAAGGTTTCACAGAATAAAACAGAGCAAAAAAAAAAAGTGTAATGATATAAATAAAAACAGTATTATAAAACAGATAGTTCCTCAGAAACAGTTGTGGTTCCAACAAAGTGGTTGCCGAGCAACACACAGAAGTAAACAAAGGTGTATGTTTGTAGAGTAATTTACAACAGCTTCGAACGCGGCTCAACCAATCAGAATCAAGGACCGGAACTATCCGTTTTATAAAATTAAATAATAATAATAATAATAGTTGTTGTTGTTGTTGCTGTTATTAAATTAACTCTAAATTAATTCTCTGATAGATATTAGTGTTTAAGCATGAAGCTGTAAGTTAAGGACATGTGTTGTGTGTACCTGCAGTGAATGAAGTCCGGTACGGGGTTGTGAACGCTGAAGGACGCTGCGTCCAGATCTCTGCAGATCTCCACGTTATCTCCCGCCATCAGACGAACGGCAGCTTTGTTTTCATCTTCAAACACCTGCCTCTGCAGCGACGCACACAGCAGCAGCATGAAGTCATCTACATCAGACAAACACGAGAGCAGAGCAGAGAGGAAACGGATTTAAAGGTCCCATATTGTCAAAACTGAAATTTCCTGGCTTTTTTCATGATAACTGAGGTCTAGGTGCTATGTAACTACCATATAAGTTTCAAAACAGTCAGTCCACAGTAAAATGCACACAGCCTGCATAAAGTAGCTGTGGTTTTTCACAGACCGTTGTGACTTCCGTAAAAAGTTGACGTTAGAACTACACAGTCACCGCCTTCAGTCACCACCCCGAGCACCGCCCACCGTCCCACTCTCCTTTTGCCAAACCCCCAGACAACATCACATCCATGCCATTGCTGAGCAACAACAACACGGAAACATGTCGAAAAGGTTAACTTTAACCACGAAACCAGATCGGCCGACCTGTAACGTTACACTCTCACTCAAAGGATGGACGATCTGACAGGATTGTTACTATGAGCTGGATCACATCTAACGTGTATAGTAAAGACAAACTCACCGTGTCTATCTAGTCATGATGAAGATGTATATACATTTCAATTTCAGCAGGCAACTATTTTTACAGCTACATTATTGTTCCAGCATTTATTGACTATGGCAGTGCAAGTAATTTTCTGTAGTATTTTGAAAATAAAACAGAACTAAAATAAAGCAATGTAAAACATAAAATATTGTGATAATTTAATAAACTAGCAGAAAAAATACTTTCTTTAATACTTTTAGATAGGCATAAAGTAAAATATTAAAATTCAATTAAATTAAATTCAATTCTTAAGATCATGTATTGACTGAGGCATTCATGCATTCATTTCTTTGGTGTTGTCCATCAGCGACAAACACTGTACAAAAAACACTGTACCCACTCCCTAAACGTCACGTAAAAAAATAGAAATGTGTCCGGTCAGTTTGCATGTGGGTCAGAATAACCTGGACTGAAATTGACCAGATCTTATGCTGATGGTCAAAAGTCTGACCCTGCATTAATAGAGATCACACAGTGGCTTTAGAAGTCAATATTTTATGTTTTAATTAAATTTTTTTATCACTTGTCATAATCCTTAAGAGTATTTTTACACCCCTGAGATTCTGCATCGATATCAAACTGAATGGGAATCTGTGCTTAATCCCAGATTTCTGCAGTGCTCTTATATAGTGTAGTAGATGGAAACAGTCTAATACTAAAAGAAACCGTTAAATAAGTAAGACGTTTGAAAAGGCCCAGAGAAACACACCGTTACAAGCAGCCGGTGGGATTCCAATGCAGATGAAGTACTGGAAGGTGATCATGCAGGCCAGGAAGCAGCAGTATTTGGGCCAGATCTCAGCGATGGCTTTCCTCCGGCGTCTGTACATCACCACAGCCAGAGCCAAACCGTGCAGCATGGAGTAGAAATCCATCCGCTGACCCATCACATTGATCGCCAACAAGAAACACACCTGACGCCACACCAGAACAAACCGAGAGAGATAGAACGATAGACAGACAGACAGACAGACAGATAGATAGATAGATAGATAGATAGATAGATAGAACTAAGAAAGATAGATAGATAGATAGATAGATACTTCCCCGATAGATAGATAGATAGATGTAAATCAAATGCACCTCTAAACCAAACTTGTAGAAGAAGTAGTTGATGAAGTATTTGGCACACTTGATGATGCCGTTGTCGAGGTGTTGCCGGGTGATGTTGTGAAAGATGGTCCGAGAGGGAGGAGGAGAGAGTTTGTTTCTCAGACGGAAAAACTCCTGGTGTCTGTAAATGGTGACTTCAAACGCCAAGATGGCCAACATCAACAAGTTATTCTGAGAAAGGAAGAGAAGAGCGAGAAGATGAATGTAAACAAGCTCTGTACATAAGAAAGTCAATCAGTTCATCAATGAAATGCTTCATCTTCAGAAAATGAAGCTTCTCCACTTCAAATGGTAACATTAAATAATACATGTGCTTTTAGTTTTGTTTTATATTTACTGTAAGAACCTCCTTCTTTATGCATACAGATGTGATGTAATGGAGATACGTTCCTCCACGAACGAACGTATCTCCACTCAAAAAAGAGGAACGACCCAAACCACTCAAAACAGAAAACATTATTATAAGCTTACCGTTGTATAAGACCGTTGACTAAGGTAAAGAGATTTGAACACTGATTGGTTATGTACTTGCTCAATAATTGATTTTGGATCATTTTTAACAAAAGTTAAAGTTATGAAATGCAGCTTTAAATTGATGAAATCCTAGACTGTAATAAAAATTATAATATTGCATAATAGGTAATAATAGGTTGCACATTTAGCATAACACATGAAGTTACACACTCAGTAGAGGCTAATTTGATGACATATGTTATTGATTAACTCATTGAAAACATTGAACGTATCTCCTCACCCTCAGGTTGGGCAGTATATCAACAAACTTCTCCAGGCCGACCCAGTTTGCAGGATCCACGGGCTTCCGGTACAGTAGGGAATGATTCATATCCATCTTTTGCTGTTCTGTGTAGTTGGATGGCTTCAGAAACCACAATCACATGATTAAACACAAGAACCAGCAAATCTACTCTTCTGCTACAGCCAAACTAGATATGGCTTGAAATTACAAGCATTTTACATTAAATGAAAATGAATCCCATCTGAACAGCGACAAACTCATTTGATGAGTAAAGAAACCCACCATTGTACAAATACTTGAGTAGTTATTAGGTTCGATGGTCTCTAGCTGATAAAACAACTTGCAGATGATGATGACACATGTCCAGATGGTGCAAACGCTGGAAGCGAGCACTCGAAACTGCTGATACGGCAGCGCAAACGCCCACGAGATCAAAAACACATAGTTCAGCAGCGAAACCTGCAAGACACGCGCGTGAGAAACAGAAACACCTTCAGATTACTGTACCATAACCTCACGTTTGAGCTTCTACCTCTTTGACAGACAGCAGGATGATGTAAGTGGACACGATCTTGATGATGTGCATCTCCAGGAGCCACCAGATGAAGAGCTTCAGCTTATGGAAGTACTCCAGGAACTTGAGGAAAAGGACCGTGAGCCGGTCCACCACCAAATGCCATTTATTCTTGAGGTCTGAGCGAGAAGAGATCAGCTTATGTATTCCTCAGTATACATGTTATGAACAAAAGAGACACAATCTAAGACCAAAATACTAAACAGACTGAATCTATGACAAAATACGGATAAAACAAGAGTCGTAAATGCTTTAGAGTTAAACAGACATATATAAATGCCATTAAAAAATGAAGAAAAACGTGAACTGCAGAAATAGCCAACAGTTTCACACTTCTGAGGATTTTAGTTCAATTTAATGTAATGCCCTCTTGACTGGTTTAAAAATAAAATGGGAACATAGAAAAAAGGGGAAAAAATGCATTGAAATTTGTAGAATACACTAGACTACAGTAGGGGAAAAATCCATAAAAGAACATTTATAACTCTCTCTCTCTCTCTCTCTCTCTCTCTCTATATATATATATATATATATATATACACACTGTATATATGCCTGGTGTTATTCATATTTTTTAAAATAAAAATAAAACATCCAAATGGAATAGAAAATAAAATGAGGTTAAAATGAACAACAGTGGTTTATTTTCAGGTATACAGTAATAATCTCACTCAAAAATTCCTGTAGTACAACTCAACTGCATATAGTTTTCATAAAAAAATGTCTTCATGACAGATTTATTCAAACATATGTTTATAATTAACTAAATAAGCTCCCTCTGGTGTTTTTTTAGAGCTAACTAGTGAACTGTGTGGATAACTTTCCTGAGGTAAATGCAACGTTAGATGACAAGCTGTTTTATTTGACATCATTCTTTCGGTTAAAACACTGAATGAGTGATTACATGAGACATAACACATTTCTGTAGGTTGTACTTTATCTTTCAACATACCTTCCGATGTTCATTCGCATTTATTTTGCAATATAACTTGCATTAAAGTGGAAGAGACTCACGCTCCACGCTGACGCTTGAACTGAAGCTGCTTCAGTGATCTGTCACACTGCTCTAAAGAGCATCAAAATGGCATTTATTGTTTGAATTTTGTGATAAAATGTACAGAATTTGAAAGCGGAGACTTTGTTTCTTATCAGAAGTAACAGCTCTTTGTGAGAATTGGATGGGAGGTGCTGCAGGCACATTACAAATAATGTTTGGCAAAGGGAAACCGCAGACCTGGCAACCCTGGCTTGAAATACGGGTGATTCATTGGGTCAAATAGAGCCTGTGTTAACGGCACTGTTAATGTGTTGTTATTGCTTTAACCTAGACAGACCTAAATTCAACACAAGAAACATTTTCTTAACACAAGTTGCTGTCTGACATGCTTTTTTGTGCTTTTTAATCGGACCGGATCATCGGCTGTTTTTAAACACTCCAACGATGGCCGAGAGTACAGAAAATTGCTTTTATTGGCCAATATGATTATTGGCTGATACATCAGTGCATACATCGGCCGAGTGCTGTTAAACGATTCATCGCGATTCATCGCATCCAAAATAAAAATAAATTTTGTTTACATAATGTATGTGTGTGTAGTGTGTATATATTTATTATGTATATATAAATACACACACATGCATGTATATATTTAAGAAAAATATGTTATGTTTATACATTAAATATATTTATAATATAAATTATATGAATATAAATACATACATGTAAATATTTTCAAAATCTATACTGTATGTGTGTGTATTTATATAT